CAGTGGGGATGTTGGGGACAGCAGGGACGGAGGTGGGAGCAGCGTGGCAATAGTGCCAAGAAAGGGGTGTGGGGGTCACCTCTGTCCCCTGAGTCAAGCCCCTAACGTTCCTAGTGGGTTGTCACCTGGTGGGTATCATGTCCCCAAGCCCCTTCGTCTGCTTGCCCCCACCCCCAAAAGCTCTTCCTCATGTTGCACCCCGTCTCCTGGGCCATTGCTGATGGCCATCCCATGATAGGGAGACCCCTTACACCCCCCATTCCCGTGTCCCCCCATTTTCTGCTCAGCGTCATCACCTGCAGCCATGGGCCGAGGGTTTTTCTTGGTCCTTTTTTTATTGAGCTGATTCCAACCCCCTTGGAGCAGCCTGGCCGGAGGGTCCACCCCACGTTTCAGATGTTAATGAAGGTGTTTCAGAAGGTTAATGGTGGTCAACGCCCTGGAGACTAGGTCACGCTGGCGTAGGTGTGGGTTGTCCAACCACATCGCTGCAGGTGGAAATACCAAAAAATCAGAGCTCTGCTTGGCTCGATATGAAGCGGTGCCTGTAGGACATCTGCTGGACATGTCCACGAGGGCATGGGGCACCCATCATCCCAACCCCTGGCTTTCCCATAAATCCCCTGCGAGGATGCCCTCATGGTGGACCCAGATGTGCTCTGCCAGACGTTGCTGCAGGAGGGAAGGACCCTTCGAGGCTGCTCCTAGTGCAGAAGTTGGCTTGGAGGGGCGAGAGGACCCTGGCTCTAGGGCTTATTTTGGGGGAAGCTGTACAGGGTTTGGGGTCGGGTGGTGTCCCTGCTGGTCTTGGCATGGACAGAGTCTGTCCCATGGGCTGGGTCCTCCTCTGAGGTGGGACAGGAGGCTGGCTGGAGAGAGGACAGCTGTGCTGGGGCTCACCAGTTCTCCACTGGAGGGACTGGTTGGACATGGGTGGAACACGACCTGACATGGTGCAGCCAGGGAGACCTGGCTTTCTGGTGGGGGTCACAGGGCTCCAGACACCCCCAGCTCCCTGACTTAGCTGGGACAAGGTGCTTGGATAAGTGATGTGGCATGTAGCATGGTGGCTACCAGGGACAGGGACCACCTTGGAGCATCATCTTCCAGCCAAGCCGTATGGTGCATGGGCAGACCTCCTCGTGTGCCAAGGCAGGGGCTGTCTGCATGCTCTCCTTCCCCATCTGGTCTTCACTCCAGCTCCCGCTGGAGGTGTTGGCCACAGTAGGGCAGGTGAGGCAGGTTATGAGCCTCAGGAAGGATTTGGCCCTTCTAACTTGGGTTTTCACGAGATACCCACCGTCAGCCTGAGGAACCTCATCCTTGGGGGATGACTCCTCCCTCGCCAGCTTGGATGGAGATGTCCAAAGCAGCTCGAGGTGGGTCCTGTCCTCACCGCTCAGCTCCATGGTCCTCCCAACATCCTGAAGGAATCCAGCACCCTGTACTGGTTGGGCTGAGGAGGAGGCAAGGCCTGAGAAGACCTTCCTCATCCTGCATCCCTTGCAAATCCAGCTCTCCTGTTCCCGGGGGCACTGCTCCCTTCTGCAACTCTGCCCCATGGGGGGAGGAAAGGGGTTTCATAGCAGAGCTGCCCACCCAGCCTTGCAGAGGACCTGCTCTTGTCCCACTTCTCCTGCTGGGACATCGCTTGTTGGCCATTGCCCAAGAGATGCTGATGGCAAGGTGGTCCAGGGCTTGACCCAGTGCCTTCACCCCGCTCACTCCAGCCCCTCCTCATCCCAAACACCCTAAATGCCACCAGGAACCCACCGGCTTTTGGATCCCAGGGTCATGCTGCCGTGATTCCCCAGCTGGGTCAGGCTCTGTAGCAGATGGAGGTGACCAAGGGTCATGACAGCAAAGGTTTGGAGCCTCTCAAGGCCGTGGCTGGGGGACAGAGGACACCCTGCTTTGGGGGTTCCTCGTGCAGACCTGCCCTGCTCCGCACTCTGCCGTGGAGATGCACTGGGTGGGATGGGACCCAGGGGGGCTGGGTTGCAAAACCTGCTGGGACCTGGTGCTGTCTGGTCCCTCTGATGGGCCCCATAACCCAAAGTTCACTGGGAGAAGCCCCTGCTGCAGGAGCCCACCGATCCCCATATTTACAGGGATTGAAAAATTCATACTGAGGGGGTGGGAAAAGAAATCTATGGGGACCCCGATGCCTTTGCTTCCCCACAGGGTTACATGAAGCCACTGAAGCAGCCGGAGAACTCGCTGTTGTGTGACCCATCGCTGGTGGACGAGATCTTTGACCAGATCCCAGAGCTGCTGGAGCACCACGAGCAGTTCCTGGAGCAGATCCACGACTGTGTGCAGAACTGGCACGAGAAGCAGAAAGTGGGCGACCTCCTCGTGCAGTCGGTAGGTCCTCGCGGGGTGGATTTCCCCCGGGCAACCCAGGCGTGCCCGCTGTCGGCCCCAGCAGGAGAAGTTTTGGAGCAGGAGGCAGGGGAGTGATTAGAGGACGGGCCAAACACGCCTGAGATGGAGAACAGGAGAC